TTAAAAAATAATGGTTTTTTTAGCAGCTGGAGTTACTGCTTTCATCTTCCTCTCATAGTTCAGCGTCCCGTTCCCCATTAGCAATTCCCAAATACGCATCAGTGCGGTTTGACATCTGCATGGCACTGGGAGTCGAGAAACCTGGGTCTTTTCTTTGGCCCTTTGGCCCAACTTTGGCCAGTCTTCTCATGCTGCAGTTTCTCCATCTGCTAGAAGCCACACACAACAATTGACACCCACTTCACAAGGATATTATGAGGAATGAAGTGATAATGGTTATAAGATGCTTTGAACCTTTCCAAAGGAAAGTGATCTGAAAACACATGTTCTTTTCATTCAAGGAAGAGTGTCTTTTGCCCCTGGATGCAGCTGAACAATGAACTCTCCTGCCTTCGCACTTTTGCCCCTCCTAAGGGTCTCTCCATCTCTTCAGAACTGAAATCGAAGGGCAGACAAACAGGGTGACTACAGCAGGGGCCAGGCCACCTTCAGCAGGAGAGACATGAGCAAGAAGGCAGGAGTGTTGGGAGCAAGCACAGGCCCTTCTTTTCCACAGATTTGCCTGCACCGAAAGTCACGACCAACATATCACGATGCCTAGGTTCAGCATAGAAAGAAAAGCGGGGGCTTTGTAGCCAGGCAGCATAGACTTGGATCCCAGCTCTTCAAGTACCATCTGTGTGGCCTTGGATAAATCCCTTAACTTCTTGGAATTTGTATTTTCTCATCTCTGAGATGGGGATAATAGTATTGGTCTTGCACAAATGTTGTAAAGTGTAAATGAGATTTTCGCTACAGTGCCTGGTACATAGTAGGTGTTCAATAAATAGTAGCTGCTACTTTTATGCCTTTACTTGATAGTGGACAGAGGAGTTCTTATTTGCTTTGTTTTTGGTGCCATGGTATAGTAGTACCTGTGTGTGCAAATACTAAATATGGCAAAGCAAAATTTGCCTTAATACTTTCCAACGGAATAACCCACACAGTTGGCCTGGTCCATTGTTCAGGTTGTAGACCGTAGCACAAATTGTTCACCAGCATGTATATTCATTCCATGGGGAATCATCCTGCAGAGAGCGATGGGGCCCAGCGTCTGCACATGGTCTCTCACTCATCCGGTGCCACCCTCCACATCCATCCCCAGCACACCACGTCTGTCTAATCCTCCTCACATAGCCTCTCATGGGAACACAGTCACAGCCTCCACTTTGGTCTCCCTGCCTCCAGCCTCTTTTCCCTCAGGTACTCTTCCTCGACTCCATTTTGTTTGTGCCATTCTGCAGCCATATTCAGTGCCTCTTTGATGAAGCCCAGGCCCAGGGACAGGGTTTCAGCGTTCTCACAGGTTACCCCTTTTCTTCCCTCACCTCATTCCGTGTGCCAGCCCAGGCGACCATGGCTTTGCGCTTTCCTGCTTCAGCTCCCTTTACCTGCATGCACTTTCCTTCTCTTTTACTGGTCCTGCTCCATCACTGGGCACGGCACAGCCTTCCTCCATGACGTGGTCCAAGCTTTGCTTCCTTTAGGAAGACTCCTGGCATGCCTGAGTGGTGCAGTCAGTTAAATCAAACTCTTGATTTCGTCATGATCTCACAGTTTGTGGGATCGAGCCCCGTGTAGGGCTCTGCACTGACAGCACAGAGCCTGCTTGGGACTCTCTCTTTCCCTCTCTCTCTGCCAGCAGCCTGCTTGCATGAGCATACTCTGTCTCTCAATATAAATAAATAAGCTTCAAAAAAAAGGCTCCCCTAACACACCTCCCACTGTCCTCCTTCTAGCTGTCGCACCTGATGCAGCCGGCGCCCCTTCCACACATAGTCCCACCTCTCCGCGCAGGCCCTGGCAGCACGGTGACTATGTCTGTTGTGTGTCCCTACCAGACAGGCCCCAGGGTTTCCGATCTGAGCCTTCCCCAGAACCCTGTGCCCTATAGATCTATGCAGGGAATGAACGCCTGCAGGCAGGAGGCACTGCCTGTTCTTCAGTTTTCTCTGGTGAAGACTGGGCCTTGCTCAGTAGCATTCCAGGACTCAACTCCTCAGCCCCTCCCCATGCCACCCCTAACAACATGTTTTTAAGCTAAAATTCCCTGAAGGAAATTTATGTCCGTGCTCTTACTCCTCCACGGGGAGGCACAACAGCTGTTCGCCATCTTTTGTAAAATCACTCAAAAATGGCCATGAAGTCACTCCCAGACTTCTCTTCTTCAGGACATTTAATCCCAGTTCCCTTGACCTCCCTTGCGGATCCAATGCACTCGGCCCTTTGATCCTCACTACCACTCTTGTCTAAATCCTTTCTAAATTCCCTGTCTTCCTCTCAAGTTGTGCAAGGTTTAAGAATGCCTGTTTTTCTAGAATGCCACAGCACAACAGAGCTCAGGTCAGAGTGAGCCTCTTGCTTTGGCTTTCCTGAGTTCGCTGGAAGGATGGCAACAGGAGCTTTTGGCCCCAGGGCTCCTGACCCAGGAAAGGAAGCAGATGAATGGGCGGCTTAGGAGAAGCTTCAGCAAAGCTTCTGGGAAGGAAGGACAGGAAGAAAGCAGGCATGCCTCTCAATCAGGACAGACAACTTAGAGCACCAGCAGATCCCCCCCCCCCCACAGTTGTTGAGGCCCCAGGGCAGGAACCCAGCACCACCAAATGACCCGCCCTCCTGAGTGCCAGACAAGGTGGGAATGGTCTGCATTCAGGCCTTGCATGGAGCACCTTGTCTTCAGTGGAAATTATACAGTCTCTGCCTTTGCAGCCCCTCACATTTCCTTAGAAAATAAGACCACTTTGAGTTTCCTCAGATACTTCTCCAAGAGGCCCCTTCAGCCCTGCCTACTCCCCCCAGCAGATCAATCAGGCCTGTTACAGGCATTTCCAGCACTGCTCCGTGCCACCAACCAAGCTCAAAAAGGAACAGTGACCTGGATTTAAGGTGTTCTGGGAGCCACCTCCTCTCTTCCAGTCATCCACCCACCCCTGCCCCATGTGCTGCACACACACACACAGGCACATGAGTGCACACGTGCATGCACACACCTCTCTACACTCTCATGGTCATGAGGGGGAGCTTGGCCACTCACACCTGGATTGATGCTGCTAACCAGCCACAAAGAGGTGGGGCAAGGCTCGGGGACAGTGGCACCCGGTGGTACCTGCACACGAGGCACATCCAATAATTCCACTGAGTCTGGGAACCTGGATGAGCCCAGGGTGAGCAGCCTCGGGAGGTCGTCACTCTCCCCTTCTCCACCGCTGGCCTCTCCCCTTCCCCTGCTGTTCATCCCACAGATGGACATCACCTTGAAAATGAATCCAAACCGCTTTGTCTGTGTAGTCCCTCTTGCCCCCTGTTTTGTTTGGAAATACCAACAGCTGAGCCCTTCGGCAACCTTGGCTTTTGCCCTGGCCCCGAGAAGACCAAGGCACCCAGCGACTTGCTTCGCACTGGGGACGAGAAAAGAAGTGAAAATATCAGCCCGGCCCCCTCTTCCCCACCCCCACCCACTTTTGCCTCCTCCCTTTCCCACCACTTCCCAGCCTGGGAGGAGAAAGGAGCGCTGGCCTTTCAGTACCTTCACAATGCAGACAGCACTGTATCTTTCCACAGCGTCTCTGCAACCCCTAAAGGGAGGGAGGTTTTTTAACGTTTTGGAGCCTAACACCTTGGGAATCTCTTACTGGGAAAGGTAATTTTTAAATTAAGAGGGAATATTTTTTATTGAGTCCACTGTGAAATGTGTTTTCACTCATTCCAATAAAAAATACCAGTGGGAATCGTCTTACACCAGGAACTGGTCTCCGTTCTGGATTTAGAGAAGTGAGTAAAACAGACATTAGACCCTGATCTCAGAGAGCTTCAACCCAGTGAGGGGACAGGTAAAGGGCAAGTGGTTAAATAAATGACAGTTACAAACTGATGAATGCTGTGGCACAGGGGACAGGGAGCACAGTGGGTGTCACACACAGCCTGGGAGAGGGCTTGGGAAAGGCCTCTGTGAGCAGAGATACGGGGCATGAGTGGGAGTTATCTAGAAGTGGGCTGGGGTTGCTTTAAACGTCATTAGCCCAGGAAGACAGGAAGACACAACCTAAGGTCTCTTGACCCTAAATATACTGGATATTTCACAAATGTAAGGAGTATTCAAATCAGCAGAACCTGAAACCAAAAGAATTTCAGCTGGGGCGCCTGGGTGGCTCAGTCGGTTGAGCGGCCGACTTCAGCTCAGGTCATGATCTCACAGTCCGTGAGTTCGAGCCCTGCGTCGGGCTCTGTGCTGACAGCTTGGAGCCTGGAGCCTGTTTCAGATTCTGTGTCTCCCTCTCTCTCTGCTCCTCCCCCGTTCATTCTCTTTCTCTCTCCATCTCTGAAAAATGAATAAACGTAAAAAAAAAAAAAAAAAAAAAAAAAAAAAAAAAAAAAAAAAAAAAAAAAAGAATTTCAGCTGACTTTGGGTCAGACTTAACAAGCAACTGTAATGTTTCAAATAAAGCAGAATGTGGGCCTGCTTAAAACAGAGGCATGGAAACCGTGTGCACTCCTGCAGCCAAGCCCGTCTGTGCTCTGACGGTGAATTGCACCATTTATGCCTGTCACAGCCCCTCGTCACGATAAAGTTGAAATGTCATTTTGGTGTACTTAGTGCTATAGCATTCGGATTTCACTGTGCCGTCAGCTCTGGGGGAAGCGGTCACGCCTGATGTGTCCTGTGGACATGCCCTATAGTCCCTGAATCGGTACTCCCAACCAAACAGTTCCTGCCAAGGCATTGAGAGCACCTACAATGGTGTGCCTCTGATGTTTAGATTTCATGGTGCACCTTCGTATTGACCGAAGCTGTCCTGAGTGTGGCTGGGTACCCCCCTGCACTTTAACCTGGGACAGCGTTGCTTTCTCCAGAGAGCAGCTACCTCTCTGGAAGACAGATGCTGTGAGGTACCATAGAAACGTGCTATGTAATAAGTGCTCTGTACCTTTTTAATCCTTTCCTTTTCATTTTATTTTTAAAGGCTTGAGTTGTCTGTGGAGAACATCTTCCGAGACTGGCTTGAGAGTTCTGGAATACCCCAGGTGCGCCCAACATTGCTGCTCAGGAGAGTCTGTGGAGGATAGTAAAGCTTGCTGCTTGGTGTATTGCTTAGGACAGTGATTTACTTATGTGTGTAAATATAAAATTAATCATCTGGCTGAGTTGGAGTATCCCTGAGTCGGGAAAATGACAGTCTCCCACCCTTGTCGGCCTGCCATCATGACGTGTGCCTCTGGCCTCTGCCTCAAGTGGTGCTGTAGGAGGGCACCTGGTTGACCTTGAGCGGTGTGTTAAATGAGATCTTACGAAGTGTGGTGTATGTTTTGGGTGCTGTCACCAGGCAGCACTTCGAGGCTACTAGTGGGTTGAGCAGGTGGCCTCCAGCTCTGCTCTTTGGACACAGCCGGATGAATGAGTGAGCCGGCTCGCCTGCAGCTCTCCTCTGACCTGTTGTGCCCTCATTCCCCATCATTTCCCGGGTGCAGCTAGCTCCTCAGCTTCCTCCTCTGGCTCTGCATCCCTGCCTCAAGCTGGTCCTATCTGCATGCGCTATTTAGATTCATCTCTCTGTCTTAGGGACCAGGACCTGCCCCTCCTGAAGGTTCTGCTGTCTCCTCCTCTTTCGGCCCATGGGCACCTCTGTGGGAGAGACGTTCCCACCCAGCCTCAGCTCCACAGGAACTACCTGGCTTGAGGCCTCCTCTCTCTCCACTCTTCCCAGGTCCTGTGCTTCCTGGAGCCTGAAGGGCAGCCCCCGAGTGTTGACCCTCACTAGAGCATGGGGCCCTGGGAAGTCGAGGGAGGCATCCTGCGTGGGGCTGGTCAAAGGACTCTGCAGGCCTGGAGCTTCCCAATCTGGGCTGGTCCCCCGAGCAGCTGCAGACCCATCACAGTGGGCCCTAGTGTCTGGGAGTGGACCCCCATGGCTGTGAGAAACTCTGCCCTGGGTCCAGGCAAGCAGCCCCCTTAGCTTGCTCGTTTCTAGTTTCATGGCTGGTTATATGAGCTTCCCCTTGGGAGTGTCTGAATGTCAATGAATGTCTGTGAACCATGAAATTAAGGAACAGGAGGGGCTGCTCTCCATTACCTTTTCATCCTCTCTTTGCATCTTTGTCCTTTCTGTCCCACGGGGGGAGATGTCGGCCACCAGCCACCATGAACTCATTCCTAAAAAGGACGCATTGCCTTCTGTTCGGGGATGCGTGGCACCTGTTAAAAGTTATTTGTTTGGCCCAGTCCTTGGGAGCAGAAAAGAATAAAATCCTGAGGTCTAAAAAAGCGAAACAAAACGGGTGGATAAGGCAGCACCTTGTCCCGGGAGCCAGTGCTCTCACCTCCTAGGTATTTTAAGGAGGTTCTGTGACTTCCACGGTGGTGGAAGTCATTTGCCGAAGTCATTGCCAGGCCATTTGCCGACTAGAAAAATCTCAAAAACAAAGTTAAGGATTGTCTGATCCCAACTAGCCAAGCACTGCCTTCTTGTTTTAGATGGGGGCAGAGGGCATTCACCAAAGCTGCATGCCTTGTGCTCCGAGGCCAGGCGGTTGCAAGGCGCCCAGACATTCTTTCCGCGGCCTGGCAGCTGGGAAGAGTGGGGAGCTCAGAGAGCAGAATCCTGAAATTTCCTGGCTCCAAACAACAAGGCCGCTGTATTCAGCAGTTAGCCCTCAGGGAAGAGGAAAGAAAGAGTCCTTAATCGGGTGCCCAGAAGCAGGCGCACCCCGCTTGGGTTGTAACACTGGGGCTGACCCTCTTGGTCCCAGGAGGTTCCCTGATTTCCCCTGAAGAGAAGGAGGCTGTGCCACCAGCAGGAGGCTTTTGCTTTTCATTAAAAGTGGGAGGGGTGCGGCGAAAGGGAGATTTGCCTCTGAGCGGTACATTTTTTCCAAGGTCTAGTTGCGTTTGTGACAGCTTATAGTGTAGACAAGAATTTCTGCTATAAACTGACGAAACCTGCTGTCAAAACACAGCCAGGTGCAACGAGGCCAACCCAGCTATAAATTCTCTTTAAGACCCAACTGGTATTTCCTTGGGCACTTAACTGTTCAGTAAAAACAACAGCGTCAGACAGAAAAGACCCTGATTTAGTGCACATCTTTCCATTGGTGAATGATCAGACGACATCGTTTCATCTCTGTACCCATTCTCTGCCATTATGTATACGGTTGATGCTGATTTACTTGCTCACAGCCCTTTTTGTGCTCCTTGAGAGTTCCTTCTCCCTTCCACCTCAGTGAAAGGTTCTGCAAAGGCCCGGGACCCTCTGGTTGCGGGAGCCTGGCAGTGAATGGGACACCTTGTTCTTTGTCCTCATCGTTATAATATAAAGTTACTAGTGTGCTTGGCCTGGATTGACAACCAGGGCACTGAAATCGCTTCGATGCTCTTTGTTCTCGTTAAAAATTTCTGTCCACCAGCAATTGAAGTCTTTCATGACAAAAGAGTCACGTTCTCCTGGTAAAGTTTTCATTCCACAGGTTACAGAGGCTTTTTGTCTCCTCTCAGGAAGGCTTGCCTTGTGGTTGGCCTCGATTTTCCTTTTTGGCCACACTGAATGGAAATCATTAAAAAAAATGTGGAAATCACTTCAGCAGCAATAAAAGTAAGCATGAGCCCCAAAGAAGTAAAAGAAATTGGATCCAAACCTCTTTAAAGAACACCCAACCCTGTAACCTTTGGCTTTGCAAACAGATTTAAAATTGATTGTACCATTGGTATTATAGGTTATTTCCTTTTATGACTTTTTTCTAATTATAGAAGTATTACATATTTATTTTAGAATATAAAAAAAATTGTAATAAGAAAATTAAAATGGCCCAGAGATAATTTTTTGGGATAAATCCCTTCAGTCATTTTTTTTTTTTGATTTATGAATACATAGTTTGATCTTTGTCTCCCTTTTTATTGTTGTTGTTGTTTTGTTTTGTTTTGTTTCTGAGAGAGAGAGAGAGTAAATGCGTGAGCAGGAGAGAGGGGCAGAGAGGGAGAGAGAGAATCTTAAGCAGGCTCCACACTCAGTGTGGAGTCCAACATGGGTCTCAATCCCATGACCCCAGGATCACAACCTGAGCCCAAATCAAGAGTTGGATGCTCAACCAACTGAGCCACCCAGGTACCCTGTCTCCCTTTTTAAAACTCAAAATAAGATGTCCTCTGTAGCAAGTTCAAGCAGTAGCAAAATATAAAAAGCAAAAGCCCTTGCCCCCTCAGTCTTACTCCCCAGAGCTCATCCATGCTTGCTAACCACTTAGTATGAGTCCTTCCACACATTTTATGTGATATACAGAATGTAGGTGCATATCTTTAAAAAAAAAAATGTTTATTTATTTATTTTGAGAGAGAGAGAAAGAGAGAAAGAGCGAGGGAGCGGCAGAGAAAAAGGGAGAGAAAGAATCCCAAGTAGGTTCTGTGCTGTCAGTGCAGGGCTCTATCTAACAAATCACAAGATCATGACCTGAGCCAAAATCAAGAGTTGGAGGCTTAACCAACTGACCCACCCAGGCATCCCTTAGGTGCATACCCTTTTCAAATAAAATTGGAATCTTTTTATTCAAACTGAAAGTTCTCATTTAAAAGTATATCTTAAGCAGTTTTTCATATCCTTTGATATAATTTAAGAGCCATAATTTTTAACAGCTGCATAACTTTCTCTTTTTTTAAGTTTTTTAAGTTTTGAGAGAGAAAAAGAGTGTGAGCGGGGGAGAGGCAGAGAAGGAGACACAGAATCTGAAGCAGGCTCTAAGCTTTGATCTGTAAGCACAGAGCATGACGCAGGGCTCGAACCCACGGTCTGTGAGATCATGACCTGAGCTGAAGTCAGAGGCTTAACCGACTGAGCCACCCAGGTGCCCCTGCAGCTGCATAGCTTTCTAACAAACGGTACTGTAATTTAATTTACTCAGATTCCCTCCTCGCCCCCACTGTTGGAATAGTATACATTATTTCTTAGAAAGTCACCCATTCTGCTAATTTGGCCATTCTATAAATAGATTTTGATTTCTTTTCATGTCTGCCCAAAGGTCTCCTCCCGCCCCCTACCAGCCCATATGTACACATATTCCAATCTCCTTTTAAAACATTTATATGCAGATACATTAGAAATAACTTGAACCATCCAGTCTTTCATCTCTACTTCCTTATTTTAGCTGCTACAGAATTCTCCGACTCCTCTTTTTCTTTGAATTCCTGGCCACATTGCCAAGTCCTGGTATCCTTATGTACATATTTATTAAATTTTGAATTTTCTTTCCTTTCCTAGCACCTCCCCCATTGTTTCATTGTATTTTGCTTGGACTGGTTCAGTAACTAATTGGTTTTTTAGCCACCAAACCATCCCCCATCTATTGCTGCATCAATACCAAGTGAATCTTTCCAAAAGACTCATCCTCACCAGGAACTTTTTTCCTCACTGACAGTGGATTGAGAACAAACTCTTTGGCCTGCTATTTGAGGCTATCAGCAGAACTGCCCCAGGCTGTCTTTTTAAACTTTAATTTCTACCCTCCTAGGCGTATGTCCAACCATAATTTCCAATCTCTACATGATCGTTTCTTTGCCCCCAGCCTTCCTTTGCGCATGCCTTTTTCTCTCCCTGCAATGCCTTCCTTTCTGTGTCCTTAGCAAGTGTGGTAGCCTGCCTTACATTGTTGCTGTTT